ATGAAGACATCTGTCCTTCCCTTCCCTGTTTAGAGCCTCTGGTGGTGCAGTGGTTAAAAGCTTGGCTGCTAACCAAAAGGTCAGTAGTTCCAATCCACCAGCCGCTCCTTGGCAACCCTATGGGGCAGTTCTACTCTGTCCTATAGGGTCACTATGAGTCAGAATTGACTTGATGGCAACAGGTTTGGCTTTCTTTTTGTTTGGGTTTTTGGCCAGTAGAAAGTTGAGAAGACTAACCGGGAGAAGGGTCAAGTAGAGATCCATCCTTGATTAGTGGAGCCTCAGCCTCTCCTAGTTTCTGCCCTTCCCCACAGCAACAAGTCATCACATGCTCTGTGACCCACATGGCTCTTAGATTTGCTTTTGCGTATCGGCACAAGCAGACATGTAGCAGCTGCTGTGCCGTGGGTGGCGAGCTTTGTAGGGGTATGGAGTGTAAGGGTGTGGGGTGCAGGCACAGGGAGACTCCTCGCTGTGGCTCCACAGGGCACTGGGGGCCCCTGACTCTCGTTCCCTGTGCTCTGTCCCCAGCACCCTCTCCCAGTGCATTCACGCCACTGCTGCACTGCTCTACCCCTTCAGCTGGGCACACACCTACATCCCTGTTGTCCCAGAGAGCCTTCTGGCCACCGTCTGCTGCCCTACCCCCTTCATGGTTGGAGTGCAAATGCGGTTTCAGCAGGAGGTTATGGACAGCCCCATGGAAGAGGTATGATGCAACAGGTAGCGTGAATGATTTGGAGCCAGGCAGACTGGGATTTGAATTCCAGCTCTGCTACTAACAGCTGTGTGATTCTGGGCACGTTAATCTCTCTAAGTCTGAGCCTCCTTGTTTGTGAAATGGGGATAACTGTTTAGTTCATAGGGATTCTGGGGGAAATAACCTCTGTAAAGCCCCTAGCTCAGTGCCTGACACATAGTTGGTGCTCACTAAGGGTTTGCTCCTCTCTCTTGAATGATTTCCCTTTGGGCTTAAGAAACAACACGTAGCTTATTGTGAGGTCATCAGACTGTCCTACACCCAGCTGGTCCCATGAGCAGTTCCTAGGGTACGCCATCTCTCATCTTAATGGGTCATCACAGCTGGTTTATACAACACATACCCCACTGGAATTCTTTCAAGTTTCTTGGAAGAGAGCTAATGGCTTCCTCCTGAAAACTATGAGTCTTGGTTGATGTCTAATCTTGAAAATACAGATTTTTATAGCAAAAGCCATCTTGCTGATTAGCCCAGCTGCTCAGAGCTCAGTTGGCTTAGGGGACATGGGTCCAAATCCGCTTTGATCCATTAGCTTCTTGGTTCTTGATTGTAGGCTGTGCCCCAGACATAGCAGAGGGCTCCGTTGTAAAGATGGGCATTAATAGCAGTGTTTAAAAACAACTCAAAACATGTGCTGTGCTTTGAGTTGTGGGTAGGGAGGGGTCAGTAGGAATCTTCAAAGGATAGCCTATTACTATATCCTAAGCCAGAGGAGCTACTTGGGTATGTCTACACTGGCTAACAGTTGACTCACTCTGTGCAGGCAGAGCACCTACCAAGGGGAAAAGGAGGGTCTAGAAGTAGATACTAAAGCGGTATGGTCTTCCCCATTTTACTTAACATAAAACTGAGGCCCAGAGAACTGAATTGACTTATCTGAGGCCACACAAGCAATGATGGAACTCTAGCAGAGATAAATCCAAAGCCCCTCTAATAAAAGTAGGCAGCAATTCCATTTCCCAGGAGTATTGCTGGGAAGTAAAGAAGCAGGCTGTTTCCCTTCCTTTTTCCCCTGGTCCTCCCACCGTTCCTCAGAACTGCTTAGTACACATGCCCTTTGAACCAGCCTTAGTCTCGTGATGAAGTGGGACAGAGTAGTAGCCCCGTGTTTAGCAATAAGACTTAAAAATGTCCCAACTAGGAAGTTATGAAACTTCCTGACTCTGCAGCTACAGTTCCTCAGAAGCTGCAGCTCCTCCCCTGAAAGCCAGGTGGAAAGACACCTGAAGGCCAGCAGGACCCTGGCTCCCACTCTCCAAGAGTTCTGGCCTATTTCATTCCTCAGCAGCTGCTTTGTGAACGGGCAGGGGATGGGAAAGGGAGAGGAACATATGGTGAGGGTAGATGTTGGGGAGATTCTCTGACTCCCCACAGAAGCTCTCTGGAAGAGATTACTCCACAGATGGTAGTATAGTCCAATACGGGAAAGCTCCGTGGGAGTAATCTCACACAAAAAATTCTTTGCCCATACTCTTTCCTCAAATGCCCCACATGAACAGACTTCCCTACGTGAAGCCTGAGCCTATGTATACATGCGGTTTCAGGCCTGGACTAGTTCAACCTTTCTCCCCTGATGATTGATAATTACAGTGCCCGCTCTGTCTTTTGGCATATTTTCCAGTCACTCTCTTTCCTTTTATTTAGAAGGGAAAATTCATTGTCAAGACAAAGGGTCATGAACTAAAACGCGTAGAGGGGCCCAACAGGCATTTAAGTGACCAACACAGGCTTTGGGGTGGGGGGGATTGTGGTAAACTGGGGAGCCCGTACGTACCCTGCCTGAAGTCTGCTACACAGTTCCATCTGAAAGCTGCCCTTAAGAGACTGGACCAGTGTTGTCAGAGCTCCCGATTTTTTAGGAGAAGCCAGAAATCCAAATGTTACATGAAATTTTCCCATTTAAATATTGCAAATTACTTCAATTATTTAGAAATACTATGTGGATCAATGAAACAGATCTGCAAGCGAGAATCAGTTAGCAGGCTGCCTATTTGTAACCACTAGTGTAGTTAAGGCCCTTCAGGCAGTGATGGAGCTGGTCTGAGAACTCAGGTCCCCCAGATTCCAGCCCTGTGCTTGTCTCACCTGCAGTCTGTAGACACATTGTCTTGGTCTCTCCACATCCTTTCCTTTCCTCCTCCTGTTGACCCTGGGCCATTTCCTTCTCTTCCTGAGTTTCCTGCTGGAAGGCCCAAAGCTCTGAAGGTTTTTAAAAAATGTTGTTGTTTTTTTTTTTAAACACAGCTTCAGGCAATTGTACATAAAGTTGTTGCAAGCATTAGAGTCCTTGACAGTAGTTAAGAGCTCGGCTACTAACCAAAAAGGTCGGCAGTTCGAATCTACCAGCTTTTCCTTGGAAACCCTATAGGGCAGTTCTACTCTGTCCTATAGGGTTGCTATGAGTCAGAATCGACTCGATGGCAACGGGTTGTTTTTTTTTTTTTTGGTTAGAGCTGATCAGAGAGCAGGGAGTTGAAGGCTGTGAGGAGAGGAATGCAGTCCCAGGGACAGCTCAGTCTAGGCCTGAAACTGGTTCTACTATTTGTTAGCAAAGCTTCTCTGGGTCTATTTCCTCACCTGTAAAGTAGGGGTAGTACCTGTCTCACAGGACTACCGGAGGAGTAAATAATATATGTGAAGCACTTATCGTGTGTGCCATGTACTAAATGTTCCATATATGGAAACAATGACTATGATCAATGTTTACTAAGGGAGTGACTGGCTACAATTTCCCCATATTGCATTCCCCTCCTAACTTGGCTCTCTTCCTAACACTCCTTTCCTAGCTGGTTAGTTTCAGGAAGGGAATTGAGGTTTCCAAAGAGGGGAGCGTGCCAGAAAGGAAATGGAAATTAAAGATGCTGATTTTATTCTTACCTGGGCTGAAAGGTACAGCCACAGACAGAAACGGAAATGCTAAGTCCTTCTGAAGTCTATGACGAAAGGGGAAGAGATAAAGCTATTCTGTGTTGATTTCAGGTCCTGCTGGTCAATCTTTGTGAAAGAACGTTTTTAATGTCGGTAAGTGTCTGGGTTCCATCCCATGCAGGCCCACCAACAACTCGATCACTCTAGCTTCATCCATATTCCATTCATTTCAACAGACATTAAGCACTTTACTGAGCTAGAATCCATAGTAATAAGACTTCCCCTCTCTCAGGGAGCTCACAGATAGACAAGGACACAGATACCTTCACTATAAGGCAATCCATGTTAGTCACTTTAGAGCAAGGGATATAAATCAAGTACCACAGGGATCAGGAGAGAATCTTGCTGATGTTTAGAGACAAACTGAAGACCAAGAAACAGCTTCTGTTGTTTCTCTCCTACATGGCAGATTATTGGGGGGTGGGGGTGAGGGTGGAGAATTCATGCCCTTCTCAGGCCAATCTCCTCTGCTCCACATCTCCTCCTGTATTGCTTGACCTCTGAGCTGACTCTCCTCTCCTAGGTTGGTGATGAAAAAGACATTTTACCACCCAAACTTCAGCATGACATCTTAGACTCTCTTGATCAGGGGACCAAACATTTACAGAGTAAGTCCTAAACTCCTCTTATTTGGTTTTCTCCAGGGAGCTCAAGGGCATGATTCCCAATCATTCCCTTCCAGAACTAAAATCAACTTTCACAGCAGTCTTGGGCCAGCCTCAGAGGCCTAGATCCTAGGGGAAGTCAGAGTATGAGATTTTATTCTTTGTAAGCAATGGTGGAGTAGTGGTTAAGAGTTCGACTGCTAACCAAAAGGTCGGCAGTTCTAGTCCACCAGGTGCTCCTTGGAAACCCTATGGGGCAGTTCTACCCTGTCCTATAGGGTCGCTATTAGTCGGAATCGACTTGACGGCAACGGGTTTGGGTTTTTTTGGTAAGCAATGGTAGTCTCCCACTTCGGTCAGCGAGTAATTATAAACCTACCCACCTGTTTCAGCCTACAATGAAAGCTGCAATTGGAGTGAGAGTTTGAGTAATTTCATCCTGCTACCCTCTGACATGGCCTCTGTATGTCCCCTACAGCTTCAGAACAAATCAATGAACATGTTTCAGGGCCTTTTGTGCAGTTCTTTGTCAAGACTGTGGGCCACTATGCTTCCTATATCAAGTGGGAGGCAAATGGGCATGGCCACTTCCAAGAACGGTCCTTCTGTAAGGCTCTGACCTCCAAGGCCAAGCGCCGATTCGTGAAGAAATTTGTGAAGACACAGCTCTTCTCCCTTTTCATCCAGGAAGCTGAGAAGAGCAAGAGTCCTCCTGCAGGTACACAGTCTAAGCCCAGTGAGGGTCACCTCCTCCAGGTTAGGTGCAGCCTTATGAAGGATGAAGAGGGAAGGAAGGAGTATTTCCCTCTAGAGTCCCACAGAATAGCTGTAATTGTGTATCAGTGGGATTGAAAGGAAATAACCCGAAACCTAAGAAAATGCTTCATGGGCTGACATTTTGTAGAAGGTGCTGTATTCCACAGCCAGCTGGACTGGATTGTTTCTTCCTTGTTTTAATCTGGAGCTAATTCCTGTTAATTACCCTTTGTTTGAGGGCCCCTTTTTTGGGGGCAAATCGAATACCTTGGCTCTCCAGAAGCCTGTGTGGGCATGGGAATCCTAGCAGGGATGGAGTGTGTGTGTTTGTGTGTGATGGGATTAGACAGAGTGGATATTTCTGACCCTTATGCCTGAGCTCATCATAGTCTGCCAGATTAGTGGACTCTAAACCTGTATCTGAACCCACAGGCTATTTCCAACGGAAAATACTTGAATATGAGGAACAGAAGAAACAAAATAAACCAGGGAAAAGACTGTGAAGTAAGAACTGTGGTGGACAGGCGTGATGAGACCTAGAGGACAGTTCTGGACTCGGGCCCCTGCCTGGATGGCAGGCTCAGTGAAGCTCTCTGCCCCAGCTTCCACGGCCTTCTTCCAAGTCCTGGTAACCAGATCTTGCTTCCTGCTGGTGTCTGAGTTTGGGATCCTTGGAATCAACTTTCTCAGGACTTTGGAGGCTCTGGCGCCTATGCTTACAGAGCTGAACTGAAAGCTGCGTTTTTTGCAGAAGTGACACAGCGGGGAGCCAGTAGTACAGATGTTGTACAGGCTTGGTTAGAAGTTGCTGGAACTGCCCTCTCCCAGGAACCACTAGTACAAAACCCTCAAGCAGAGAAAGCAGTTGTGGCCCCAAGGCTCAGCTCCTCAACATGAAAAAGGTCTGTGGACATGTGAGAATGCGAATAAAGATGAAAATCTTCTTGCTATTTATATCTATGGCTTCCACTATGGGAGAACAGGAAAACAAGGCAGTAGATGTGAGAATAAATTGGAGTAAAAGAGGAGGACTCGGTCTTGGTGGTCCTGCACCCTGGGGCTATGTTTGCAGTGGTAGAATTATAGGGCTCAGCAGTTCCTCTTCTAACAGGAGGGGCAGAGGGTACAGGTGAGAGCAACAGCGCTGGGGAACAGGGCAGATGAGCCTTGGTTCAAGTCATGTGTGCTTTTCAGAATCCTGAGAGGAGAGGATGCTTGCGACAGAGAAGTGACTGCCATTTAGGGGGCAACTTGAGGGTAGGAATTTCAGGCAAGAAAAGCCAGTGAAGAACACTATATCCCTTCCATAAACAGGTCTGCTTGTTCATCACTTTATGTGGATTTTTTTACCTCGAGTTTTAGACATTTAGGATTTTGAGAAGCCCAGTTTAACTCTTTAGCTAAAGATGACAGGATTCCTGCATTGACATTTTTTCCCTTTGAGAAAAGAGATCACAATTCTAAGGGACCAACAGGTTTAGTGGTCACCTACTCCATCCTCCCTCTCTACCTCTACTGACAGCTTGTTTAAACACTGCAGGAGATGGGAAACTTATTTAGCAGTGTCTTTCAAAAATTCCACCTTTTTTATATGTGTATGTGATTGTAACCCTCAGAGGTCCCTGAATTCTATACAAAGAACACAAATGTTTTTGGAAGGTGGGACAGGGATCGGGGGTTACCAAAGGGGAGTTAAAGCCAGTGTAATCTCACTGGGGGCACAGGGGCTTGCTGCAGGGGGCAGATGTTCCACTGTCGACAAACTACCCTAACTATAATGCTACTCTTCACAGCTTCTGAAAATCACTGCATTTTTTTAAAGTGGTTTAAGGCCGTGGTTCCTAAACCTAACTGCACCTCAAAAGGTTTCAGAATTGGGCCTAAAATCCTTGGAAGCTTGTGAAAATACTTCCTGAGGGCCCATCCCAAATCTGCTGGATCATCTCTAGGGACAGGGCCTGGGAATCTGTAAAAGTTCCTTCAAGTGACTTTGATGTCCAAGCTGGTTTGGGAACCACTTTGTATGGGGCACTAAAAACCAGATAACAAACTAAGTAATGTACAGTGAAACCTGTGAGTCAGAACTCAACAGGACTGCCTTGTTTTTCTGGGTCTCACAAGTCTTCCGCCTTAGATAAGGTGCAGTCCTACCACTTTTCTATCGCTCTCTATTAGTGAAAAATATTTGCATTTTCCTTCTCTGACGAGTTTCTGCCTTACACAGGTTCTGGCTTTCACAGGTTTTACTGTATATGAACACACAAGAAGAGCTGTGGCCAGCTGAGGTTTACTACAACGGACTCTTGATCTGATGGCATGAAAGCACACACCAGATATTAGAGTGTGTTTTTGAGTCCCTTTATGCTGAAAAAGATTCTAGAAGAATATACACATTTACACACAATATATACAATATACACACAATTAGCTCTCAACAACTCAGTTTAGCTTTGGCCTACCAAAACCCAGTATGGTGTAGGAGAGAACACGGGACCAGGATTCAGAAGACGTGGATTCTAGAACCTGTTCTGAAAAGTAGCCATTATGTGACATTGGCATGCCATTTAACCTCTTCAGGCCTCAATTTCCACTGTAGGTTATTAGCAACTGTAATAATGACATAAGACAGTAGATACAAATGTGCCAACAAAGTAGAATTAACCATTTTTCTTTACTCTGCTTTGCCCTAGTTTTCAAAACTTGATCTGCTTTAGCATTTCCCTGTATGTACTTCTTTACCCTAGATGCTGGAGAAGTTGCTAGGGAGCAAAGAGGATGGGAGATTCACCTTTCCTGTTAGTCTAACAAAGAAATTGAAGGCTGCACTGTCACTGCTAGTCTAGAGCCACACAGCATCACTGGAACCATCAAAAGGGCAAGCAACCAGAGTTCTGGCTGCCAGGCGAGGCATTACAATTACTGTTCGTCCATGGTAACAATAAATGGAGACAAAGCATAAATAAAAAACCAGTAAGATACCTCATTTTAGCCAACAGTTTAAACCTTTTCTGTGGTCTTCTTCATTCAAACAACTCATCTATCTATATAGTGAAAACAGATCTGGTTCATAGTTATTGAGGACAACTGCTTCCCATTTCACACTGTAGTATAGATACTGAGTAGCTAGAAAAGGAAAAGGACAGTGCAAAGGGACCCATGGTGAGGCCCAGGCAATTAGGGAAAATTTTGGGGGGAGGTTTGAGATTGCTATGGGACTGATAATTGCAAGGGTGACAACTACAACAAAAACTTACTGAGAAGGAAAATAAACACAGTTCTTCAAGTTAAACAGTTTATACAAAATAGTAAGGTTATAGGATACGTCGTGACAATGCAGCTGACCAAATTTCCTTATTTATTAAAGAACAGGAATAAATTTTGCTTAAAAAAAAAAAAAAGACATTAAAACTTAGTTTATCTTTCCACTGAATAAAACTGAGAAAAAAGCTGGCTTTCAGATCATATATTTATTTAAAAAAATAAAATGGATCGACAAAGTTACCACATTATTCTGCATGCTGACAGGATTTCCCAAGCCCATGAGATATTACTTCTTGAGCAATTAAAAAATGACTTCCTCAATGATGTAAAGATAGAAACTTTCAATCCAAATTCAAAGTCTTTATCACGAGTTCTACCTCACAAGCTGGTGGAATGTATCTGTGCCACAAGCTGAGCTCCTTAGTAAAAGAAAGCTTGAGAAGACACTAAACAAGGATGTCAATAAAAGATGATGATATGTTAAAATTATAAAGCAACCATCTGTTGGCCTGCAAATATTCTACATTAGAAATCTCCACCACTGGGGATCTGGCTCCCCATGACAATTTTATTTTGAATCCAGGATAATTATAAACACACGGCATCTTTTTTCCTGCATGCTTTCTTGGGCCAAACTCTGTATGACAACATATACAATTTACAGGAGGGGACTTGAAACTCCCATTCTCACACAGCATAGTTAAGGAGTGTTACCAATAACAAAGAATAAAAGTTATACAACATTGATTATTATAAATTATATTTGTTCTTATCCACCCCATTCTCCTTAATATATTCAGATTCTTTCCTTCAGAAAACACAAGTTTCCTATGTAACACCAATTACATCATTAATGATGATTAGAATGAGCTGTAGAGACCTTGATTCTGAAAACATGTATGTGAAGGTGAGATGCAATTTGGTTGCAGACACTGACACAATAGCGGATCAAATCAAAGAATGAGAAGACCTGGAAAAAAAAGACGATTAGATTCTCAGGATCTGCTTAGACCCTTGCTGAAAGTAACGAAGAATGGCCTCTAACTTTCTTCTCCTCTCTCCAGATTCACCTTCAGTTAAATACAGTTTAATAACTCAATTTCCTCATGGATCTTTCCTTTACACCAAAGGTCAACAATCTCTTACAGAAACAGATACTAGATGGTACAACTGCTCATCTCTGCTATTATAGCAAAAAAGCAGACACAGATAATACACAGATGAATGGGCATGGCTGTGTTCCAATAAAACTTTATTTACAAAATAGCCCACTGGCCCACAGAGTAAGAAATTTGAAATTTATGAGCCTTGATGTAGGCAGGACTGACATTCCAAATCTTTATATTATCTCTCTCTCACGACTGACCCACTGAAACAAGAAACAAGTAGCCTACCGATTATGAAGTAAGACATAGTACAATACTTACCAGAGCAATCCAAAGTACAATATATTCATCAATAAAGCTGTTAAAATATTGGTCCAGAAACAAAAGTGCTGGACCTATGAATGCTGTGTCATGCAAATGCATTTCACTTTTCGTCATATGTGCAACCTATGATAAAACAGAATCAATGATGTAGGCATTTTCATATTAGAGCAATTGTAAGCTGCACAGTAAATCAGTATTGTGCTCAAATATCGGTTTAAGAACCAACATCTGAATTCCCAAAACTGAAAAACCACCAACAACATGAAGTATTATGTATGAGTTATGCCCCACAAAAAGGGATGGATACCATGTCAAAGAAGCCTCCAAAAGATGCTTCTCACCAGGAGCCTTAATTTGAGGGTCCAGATTGAGACTGGAGAGAGCAGATAAACTAAATGACCAAATTAAACTGTGGACAGAAGGGAGAAAAAATGCAAACATTCTAGGAGTTTCTGGTAACCTCAAGCTGTAGCTTCACAAAAGAGTAGAAATCGTTCCCACCCTGATGTGAACAGATTTTGATTGTAGGAGAACAAACTCTAGGACTGCTTAGGATGCTACAGAATAAAAACTATGGCCATAAAACCAAAATCGGATGAAAGTGAAAAACAAAACTTGGATGCTTACCACAAGCTTATTAGTGATTTTAGCAGATACAAAACCAAATGTCAGTATATAAAGACAGGGATGCTTTTCAAAAAGCTGAACTGCTGATTTCTTGTAGATCACTGCAGCTAATGTAATCACTGATCCAATATGGAGAAAAGGAGAAAGGACACTTGTTCCCTGTATAGTGAAAAGAGACAAGTTAATAGTACTCACACATCAGACACTACATGGATCTGCTGTAAGACAGCTCAACTCAAACTGTGAAGAACCGCATGGTGCCTAACAGCCAGCAGTTTCTATCAACGAGCACTGGAACAGCTAGTGAAGAGCAGCAGCATGGACTGGTTAGGCACAAACTGAGGACTTCACGTAAGAGACCAAGCTTATTTTATAAAGCAGTCCATACTTTAAAACAGAGACGTTGTGGACATTACTTTTTTTTTTTTTAAGGCTGAGCAGAAACTCAAACGATTTTATACATTTCAAATGAAAAAACAAAGCTACCACAAAACCAAATCTTAGCATAAACAATCATTAGAAATCTTAAGTAAAGATATACTTACTGCTATTGTTGATCCATTTTTGCCAACACCACCTGTGAAGATTACACGGAAGTAATTTGTACAGGAAAATATGGTCCCTGCTACAGTGCAAAGTGCAGGAAAAATTTTCACTTCAATATTCAGCACTGGAATCTTTAATGGTAGAGAGAGAGAACAATTAAAATATATTCAAACTAACAAAAGAAAACAGTACTCTCAAATATTTGACTCATATTCCCAAATACTCTCCATTCCCTCTAGTTTAGTAAACACTTAATTTCCCTCTACTTTTCATTATAAGTACATAACAAGTCTCAAGAGATGAGAGGATATACAGAAATTAATCTCACTTCTCCTGACACCAACCTTTAAAAATTAACTGACCTAACTTTATTAATTTGTGCCATAAGCTAAGTAAGGTTCACCTAACGTATCCCAGAGGTCTGGCAACAACGAAACAGGTTGTCTTCTGGCCTTTTACTAAAAGGAATGTACCTCGTTTATTTCTTTGTGCATTTTTTGAATTCTACCTCTACATCTGAAGTTTATTACTAATTGTGAGACAGAAAGTATGGAGCATAAAATAATAGAAATGTTTGCAATTAGATTAGAAAATCTGCAAACTAGAGAACTGAAGAGAAAAGTTCTACTCCGAAGACTTCCTAATTCCAAATTGTTAGGACAAGAGCAGAGGACAACTGAGAAGGCACTCATATACAGGAGAAAACACGTCAAGCACATCCAATCACAGCTCTACAACTGAGTAGCCAAAATGTTAACATGTAAGTTTTCAGAAGTAAATAATGTATTCCTACACTGAAAAAAAAAAGGAAACCCTGGTAGCATAGTGGTTCAGAGCTACGACTTGCTAACCAAAAGGATGGCAGTTCAAATCCACCAGGTGCTTCTTGGAAACCCTATGGGGCAGTTCTACTCTGTCCTATACGGTCGCTATGAGTCGGAATCGACTCGATGGCAGTGGGTTTGGTTTTTATACTGAAAATAGGAATATATTATTTACTTCTGAAAACTTACATATTAACATTTTGGCTACTCAGTTGTGGAGTCCTATAATGGAGGCCTACTGGAGCAGTGGTTAAGAGCTTGCATGCTAACCAAAACATCAAAAGGTCGGCAGCTTGAATCCACCAGCTGCTCCTTGGAAACCCTAGGGGGCAGTTCTACTTTGTCCTATAGGGTCACTATGAGTTGGAATCGACTCGATGGCAACGAGTTTGGTTTGGTTTTTATATATATATATAAGCTTTAGTTTATATTAAAACTGTTTACAAAGAGGCATTCCTACATTGTTTGGAAGAAAGTCACTAATCTCAAAATACTACTTTGTTTCTGCTTAAATTTACAAAACCTCTAAGAAAATGTCATTATGCCCATAAGAACACTAGTCTAACAGCTTAATAATGATATTCTGCATTAACCCAAACTACTGAACCGAAACATACATCCCTTATAATCTGGTAAAGGTGTTGAGAATTTAAGATACTGTTTTTCCACCTCTAACCTTTTTGAAAATGAATTAGATTAGACTGATATTATTTGGATGCATTATCTCACAGCATGAATCCCAAGGCTATTCCTCTGGCTTACAGGGCAGACTCCATGACCTACCAAAACCAACTGTAGGCAATGAGTTCTTAAAAATAAAAACATTTTAATTAGGGCTGTTTACTTTTTATGACTGTAATCTGCCTATACTTTAAAAATCAAATAGGAAATGTGACATTTCTTTTATGCACACATAAAACTCCAGCTTTAGGGGGTTTTTGGCAAACAATAATCATAATGTTTAGATACTCCAAAACCCTTAAGAACTCAGTTTGTTTACACAGCTCTATGATCTCTTACAAAACTGCAACTCTTTAAAAAAACAAAAAAAACTGAAATTGACTGTTCATATTTCAAGTTGTACTGTGACAGTATTTAATTTTCTAAAATGTAATAGGTCAACTTAAAAATCAAGTCCAGCACTTCATGGAGTATCCTAAATGGTCTTCCTCCTTTCCTAATGATCTCCAATGCTTACCCCCAAATGCAAAACTTGTTTTCAATACAGGAGAGAACTAACACCATGGCTGCTTTGAACTCCAAGACATTTTTTCTGCTCTAGTTCAGGAAACCAGGGACATTACAACCTAAATCTGATGCACGTGGCTGAAATTCAATATTCTGGCCAGTTTCCTGGTCCTCTCCCCTCCCTTTTTTCCTCCATGGAGACAAAGGACCTCTCTGGCAAAGGGGAAATACTACACTCCCCTAGATTCCAAAAGAAGCATTAATCCAGTACAGGCGCATCCCTGTATTAGAGCCGGGTACTGAATGAGTGCCAGCTCTGGGTAACAGTAATCTGTGTCACACTGAACTGAATGGGCATCACAACTGTATCTGCAATTTGGTGAAACTGCTTTAGGATCATGGAAACTGTTGCACTTTGAAAGAAGGAAGAATAAATAGAGAACATTAAAAAAGCCAGAAAATCAGTACATGGCTTGGACCACAAAGCAAGTAAGCAAGCTACAGACCTATGAGCAAATTATCATAAATATTCTTAGGCTCTTCACAGTTCTGTCCTATATGATAGTTGCATACACCAAAACAAATGCTCCTGAGTGCAGGATTTTGTTTGATTGATTTCTGTATTCTCTGCAGAGCCCTGGATATTGTAGATGCTCAATATACATTTGTTGAAGGAAGATTAAGATCTTTTCTTTTTCTCTTACTTTCTATGGAGAAGTACTGTTTTGGGACAGTATGAAGAAATATCTTGCCCTCGCAAACAATGAAAAAGGAAGTCAGCTACAAGAAAATATGAGGCAAAGTGAAGGGAGAGCTGGAATCAGAGGAATCCCAAGCCTCAACAGGTAATACCTTAAAAATTGGTGCCAACTGAAACCACAAATAAAAACAGTATCTTAAATTCTCAAAAAATAAAAATCACTAAAAGTGTTGCCATTTTCACCCCACACTCAAAATCAAGGCTGGTGGGCACACTCTGTCTTTCCCAATCTTGCTCTTTTTGGCATTATTTCGTGGGACTCATCCACAGTGGCCAAAGTGCACCCACACTATAGAAATAGCCAGAGAACTATATTGAAAACACCTTCGCCTCAGGCCTACCCAGAGTTTCTGTAGTCTTTGAGACCTGGGAAGAATAAGAGCTCTCTTAGGTCATGGAAGGAGCCCTAGTGGCACAGTGGTTAAAGCACTCAGTTGCCAACCAAAAGGTTGGCAGTTCAAACCCATCTTTCTGTGGGAGAAAGATGTGGCAGTCTGCTTCCATAAAGATTTAGAGCCTTGGAAACCCTATGGGGCAGTTCTATGCTGTCCTATAGGGTTGCTATGAATCATAATTGACTAGATGGCAATGGGTTTGGTTTTGGTAGGTCATGCAGTCTGCCCTATAAGCCAGAGGAATAGCCTTGGGATTCATGCCATGAAATAATGCATCCAAATAATATCAGTCTAATCTAATTCATTTTCAAAAAGGTTAGAGGTAGAAAAACCAGTATCTTAAATTCTCAACAGCTTTACCAGATTATAAGGGATATATGTTTTGGTTCAATAGTTTGGGTTAATGTAGAATATCATTATTAAGCTGTTAGACTAGTGTTCTTATGGGCATAACGACATTTTCTTAGAGGTTTTGTAAATTTAAGCAGAAACAGAAAGTAGTATTTTGAGATTAGTGACTTTCTTCCAAACAATGTAGCAATGCCTCTTCACAGTTTTAATATAAATAAATTCCACCAAAACACAGCAAACGTTAACATAGATACTAGTCTCCACCAAGTGTTTAAGGAAAATCAATATGCTTGAATTATTTAAGTGTGAGACACTTTTAAAGGGCACTTTTTAAGAATGAGAGGAAATAAATTGCACTATGTAGTGCATGAAGTCCTACCTAATGAATCCTGAAACTTCACCTCACTCACTTCCCTAAACTGGAATCTGGTAGCTTGATACATATTTTACCAACTACTAGATTTAAAAGACTCAAACATCAGTGAAAGTAACCATGAGTGGATTATATGTGACTCTCTTCCAAAGTGATGATAGTCTTCTTCTTTTTTTAAACAAAAGAATGATATGAAAGAATATAGTTCCAAGACATTCTAAAGGTAATATTCTTGGGGGAAGTAATACACAAAAAATGTGGTGGGTTTTTGTTTGTTTCTTACAATGTGCAAACCATGCACCAATTTTTGTGCATGAAAATGTCTTTCCTTTAAAAACATGAAAACAAACAAAAAACTCAACATAAACTAACTGCTTTAGTAAATTTATTGCCAGGCACCACCTAAGAAATAAAGACACATGTACAACACGTGTACATGCATAATTTCATTCACGTTTTATGCATCTCCATATTGAAAATGATAATTAGATACATAAACCAGATTCTGACTTGTTTTCAGATAATCAAGAAATCCCACTTTTTTGATACTGGTATGCTGAAACTTTATACGTAATTCATCTATGTTAAAAATATTCAAAATAATTTTTAGGGGGAAAATTTTGGTGTAAAACATAAGACCTATGCAAATAATATAATAATTAACAGTCAAGGGATATAAAAAAGTTGAGTGTGGGTAGGATCCTTTAGGTTTTATGATCTGGTTTCTGGATTAAGTTTCCTTTCCTTCCTATAATGCTAAATTGTTAAAATAAGACTATTTAATCTACTATCGAGCAAAAGTAAATAAAATTCACATCTTTCCTATATATTAGTCTCAAAAGCCAACAGGGTCTCTAGAGAAATCTGTATTATGTACATAACAGAATACTTTCAGAATTTCCTAGTTCACTGTAGATAATTTTTACTCCTTCCTCTCCTTCCTCATGCTCATTTCTCCAACAAAAGGCATTAAACAATTTATGGTAATAAATGTTTAAGGAAATGTGTCAATTATACTTCTTCAAGCACCTAATTTACTGCTAAAAAATGAGTCAGGTAAGAGGAATTTTTTGCACACTAAACTTCTCTTATACTTGATTCTATCAAATGAATTATAAATACTGTATTCTGAAGGGGTGGTGGTAGCAATCCACAGTCAGCTGATGACCAAGGAGTACAAACTACTTAGACTCAAATCTAGAAGAATACATTCCAATTATAAAAGCAGCAACAACTTTTATTATTGAGTGCTTATTATTCGATAGACACTGTTCTAAGTGCTTTACACATATTACCTCATTTAATCCACAAAATAAACTTATGAGATAGGTACTACAGTAAAACCTGTGAAAGCCAGAACCTGTGTAAGGTAGAAAACTGTCAGAGAAGGAAAACTCAAATGTTTTCCACTAAAAGGACAGATAGGAAAGTGGAAAGACTGCACCTTATTAAAGGAGGAAAACTTGTGAGACTCGGAAAAACAAGGCAGTCCCCTTGAGTTCAGGCTCTCACAGGTTTCACTGCATTATTGTCCTTATTTTAGAGAGGAAGAAACTAAGCCACAGAGAGTTAAACAACAGATTAAGTTCACAGAGTAGGCAGGGAAGACTGGATCAAACTCGGCCAGTCTGGTTCTAGATCCTGTACTCTTGACCTCCATGCTATATTCCCCCTCTCAGAGTTTTGTGGGAAAAAAATTTTGTGCTAGAGAGGGGTAACTATATTTCAGGTCAGGTTGAAAATCAAAGTCCTGGCTTATTAAAATAATCCCATGGCACTGATTTCAATAAGGATTAATGCTGTTTAGGGGTCAGAGTGAATTTAGTACCCCAAATTTGTTATACAGCTTTAAGCATATGACAGAAAAACTAGCAGACTCATGTAGTTCAGAAGGAGAATGAAAGATCTGACTTCATCTTGTCACTCACTGGTTTGTCAACCTTTATACCATCTGCTGTTTCCTTATCTGTAAAACAGGATGGCAACAGTAACTCAGATTCTCAATGGCCTTCAAAAACAATAGTCCTGGAATGGATCTAATGCACCACATTAACTCCAAGCAGTAAAATGTATCATGCCCTAAAGAGAAGTTTGTGTCCTACCGTTGCCATGACTTTTCATCTCCAGAAAGAATAAAATAAGTACACGTTATCCTTTAACTGGTTTATACTATATTAGAAAAGACAAGCAAAAAACAACAAGAATTACATGGGATACACAATGTGAACAGTTACCATAGATTGCCAAAAAGGTGGTCCTCCAATCACTGCCAGCAAATGCATGATTATTATGAAGATTTGCACTTCAGTCACATCAATTCTGATTAGGTACAAAAAGCCAAAAAAAGCAGAATTACTCAAAACAACTTCAAGTTAATTATTTGCAAGCTTAGCAGCATTCCTCTATCATGCACAATAGAAACAAAATCTCAAATATTGAGGAAAAGGGAAAAGGAGGCATCAAAAATTTGTTATGAACAAAATCTAGTAAAATCCAGAGCCTTTTAATTTAATCTGATGAATTTCACAGAGCAATAAAAACCCCTCCTTTCCAAAGGAAATTTCTGACTCATTGCACTTGGGCTGAAACTATAGCTTAACCTTTCCCATCAAACAAAAGGAGATTGGGGATAAATTTCGAATGTCAAGCAGAGGATTACACTGCACTGCTGTGTAATATGAAATCTTGAAACAAGTTCTTTGTAGTTATTAGGTGGAAAGAATGGTGAGCTTTTACTAAAGTAACATAAATCACTGAAACCCTACAAAATTGACTGCCCTTTAGACATCTTCATTTAATGCTTGCTATGTATGGCACATGTATGAAAATTTCACCCAATTCTTAATCAAATTATTCTTCTCACTAGGTCAACTATCCTAAGATTTCTGGAAAGAATATCCTGAAAAAAGCCAAGAATTAGTTTTGGGGTTGCTGAAAATTATCTCACAGTCAAGAAGAGATAAACCTGATACAAAAACAGGGCAGTAGAAATTAGAAGTCTGAAAGTCTGAAAAAAGAGTATCAGCAAAAAGATTGAGTAGCAAAGCAAAGCATAAACTGGTATTCCTTTCCTTCTGTAGACCAGTCCTTTGTATAATCTTGTGGTTATCATTCTCAGATTACTGGATCCAAATGCATTTTGACAATTTATCCTACAGATATACTTGCACAAAATGATATTCGTACCAGGTTCTTCATTGTAGTATTATTTCTAACAGCAACATTAAAAAAAAAAAAATCCCTCAATGAGGAAATGGTTACATAAATTATGGCACTTCCATAAAAAATGGAATATTTTGTAGTTTAAAAAAAAAAGAGCAAGGCAACTCCCTACATACTGATATGGAAAAATATCCAAAACACATTAAGTGAAAAAAACATGCTGCAGAATGATGTATATGCTACTTTTTGTGTAAAAAAGAAAAATAATATTCTATTTTTTTTTTTGCCAGCAATTGCATAACACATTTCTGGAAGTATGCATTATAAACTAAGAAAAGGAGTCACCTATTGGGGGAAGACAGTGTGAAAACTGAGATGCTGGGGGATAAGGATAGGAAGACAACTCTTTACTACATGCCTTTTTTATAATGCTAGTTTTTGAATAAAGTAAATAATTTATCCAAGAAGGTAAATTAAAAAAAAAAAAAAAAAGTAATCAGTCTAAGAAAAGCAGACATCAATAGCAGCAAGGGGGTTCAATTCCTAGAGCAGAATAGAGCCCCCATTTCTAACACTGACACTTAAAGTAGACGATCTATAATGTGAGCTTAGGATATGTAACTCTCATACCTATAATAACTGGGCTGAAACCAGTCTCTCACAACTAAAAAAATTAGTCTTTGTTTGCTCCAAGATGTTTTTAAACAGAAGCTTATTAAGCTGCAAATATATAGTGATGCAGTTATCCTGATATACACATTTATTGGAAAAAAAAATGGACTGAATTAGGCTAAAAAGAATCTGTAGAGCTGACCTGGTGAATGGCGTTGCCAATAAGGGGGATTAGACTCAGTAGCAGACTCAGGAGACTAAGCAGGTGTCAAAGATGATCGACTCTGTCTTGGGTGGAGGAGAGTAGACATCTTACAACATTTTGCTGGATATATGAAGTAGCCTTTTGGAAGGGGAAGGGCCAGAAGTATAGAATTACAAAATAAAAATGGAGGGAACCTCATGCAATTAATCTTTGTACCTTGGGTGAATGTAAAAGAGAATAGGAAACATGAAAAATCCTTACAAAGCTCCAAACTGGGTTTCCTAGAAAAGTTTTATTGAGTATCTTGTTTGGAAATTGTGGAAGACAGACTTTTCTAAAACATTCAGATATTGTCATTGTATTTATACCAACAATGCCTTAATGTTAGCAGAGAGGGCCAGGGAAAACTTACTTACCAGTTGGTAGTTAGCTAGGAATATATTCTTCCGTTTGCTTAGCTGATTTACAGTAAAACTCCAGGATAAGCCCCTCCTCCCCTCCCTAAGCTGAATCATGAGACCGGCCTATCATCGCTCCTAGAGGTGTGGGTCTAATCCTGGATCTCAATGAAAAAGGGTGTGGGCCATCCCCAGGCATGGAAACTAAAGCAAGCTAAGAGGGCAGAAATGATAAACAATGAACAAACCAGTTAATGATTCTGTTTAGAAGAGAGCTAGTTATGGGATGGATCTTTTCTACCCCCTTCAACTAGCAGGTCTCTTACCATGGGCTGAATTTACACTAACACATTAGGAAAGGGCTCACTGTAATGATTTTCGGCCATGTAAGAAAGAAACAGTTATCTAGAAAGGAGCATAGTATACAAAAGCAGGAATGTGGCATTTCTGTAACAACTACCTTTTAAAATTATTTTTTTTTAATGGAAAATGAGTGATAATATTTCCAACCGTTGGCACTAAACAAAAAAATCTACCACCATCACAAAAAGCCCTTTAAAATACAAGGGATGGGTGGAAAAGGAATACCAGAGTGATTTAAAAAAAAAAAAAAATATATATGTATGTGTATATATATGTATGGAAAAACAAATCTCATAGATGTCCACAGCCTAAAAGTTTCAAAGGTGAAAAATTAGACAACACTAAACATAATGTTTTGTAACCATGAAGGTATCTGAACACCTCGACTGGTATAACTTTAAAATAATTTTGTGTTTCTACTTTATTTTAGGGAATGTTGTCAGAGGACAAAAAGGATTCCCCTAATTGCTGTGGATAACCCATAATGAGTACTCTGGTCAGAACACACTTAAGTTACTATAATAAGGCAGCAACAAACCAATGTTCTAGTTGTCACAGAAGAAAAATGGAAAACAGCAAAACCAGTTGTGGAGTCTAAACTCCCCCATTTGTCTGATGGGGGTGGCGAGACTATCAATGTGGCAGTCCAAGGTCAAAATAACCTTCAACATCCACAGTAAACCTCATGGGTCAATCATTCCTTACAATACTCTAATGGTCAACTGATTAAGCAGCAGAGAACAAGGTGTCCTAAGTAAACATGAGTAATTTTAACTTCTAAACAGGGAAACAGAGAATCTTTCCAGTGGGAGTGAGGATCTCAAGGCGCCTTTATCACCACAGAAAGGCAGCTCAGAAAACTCCCTGATCAGGGCAATTATTACATGAGAAGAACAAAATGGCTTTTAAAAGTGATAAAAGGGTATAACAACTCCAAATTCCGTGCTGCCTAACTGTGAGGAAACTTTCTATTTTGAAAGTTTCACTTTTATTTCTCAGTGTTCAGAGACATACCTAACAAGTGTATTTGGTTTGAATATGACAAGACTCAGTATTAATTGAGGGATGTAAAGAGATTCAGCTGATATTCTGTGAGAGCTGATAAGCATGTTGATCATCTTTCCCCGGGAATTTTTCTCTTTCCTCTCTAAAATCAGAAATAAGACAATTTAATCTATTTTTCTTCTGCATGTGACATATCCATTTCAAAGACAGACCTGTAGTTAATTTGTAAACGTGTTTTTGTTAAACTACAAATAGTAAATATAATTGTGTTGTAATTTAGGTTGGCTAAGGAGCCCTTGTGGTGCAACGGTTAAAGTGCTTGGCTGCTAACTGGAAGATCAATATTCGAACTCACCAGCTGCTCAGTGGGAGAAAGATGGGGCAGTCTGCTTGCATAAAGATTACAGCCTTGAAAACCCTATAAGGAAGTTCTACCTTGTCCTATAGGGCTGCTATGAGCTGAAATTGATTCGATGGCACCGGGCTTTTTTTGGTATGAGCTTGGCTAACAAAATATGCACTAGGGATATATTCATGATATCAAAGAAACTGATTTATACAGAGCTGTTATTTAAAAAGAAGCATTTTGTTAAAAAAGTCATCCATATGAATGTCTTGAACCCTACAGCAATTGCTAGAAAACTATAGATTAACAATTATTTGTCAGTGTATCTGAAGTTCTAGAGAAATTATGCATAACCAGAGCATGACATTCATTAAATAGTTTACCAGAAAAACCCGGGGCGGGGGGAGGCCGGGGGCGGAGGTGTAGATGGACTAGAATGAAGAGTAGCCTAGAAATTCAACATATTGCCTTCCAATATTTTACTTTTCTACCCTTGATAAGGGACAAACTGGGCATGGCAAGCTTAATGTTAAGTAACGTTAGCCATACAGCTGAGTGATAACCATGAGTATTTTAATTCAAGTGTTAAACAGACAAGTATAAGCGTCTATTTCTGAGGTAAGCTAAATTATTAAAAACAGTAACCTACCATATGATCTTCAAATTACCTAAGCAGACTAAAAAGAAGAGGTTCATCGAGTGACTGAGGAAGAGGGGGAACATACAGCCAAAGTCTAGAACAGAACAACTTTTCCTAGTATTAAGAGAGGAATTAAAATTTAAGTCTCAAATTGAAGGGGTGGCCTACCCTCATAATCTCTGGAAAAAGAAGAAAAAAATTAAAAGGAGAGTCCCCTCACTTCATTTAGTAAAATCTTGCAGTTAAATAAAGGGATCACTGACCTATTCTTCTTCTCACACTAGCATAATGAATTCTAGAAGAAATCTGGAAACCACTGGGGTTACTAACATAGGTCTTAACATTAATACAATGATAACTAACACTTACTATATGCCAGGCACTGTAATTATCAAATTACATTTTTAACTCCTTTAACCTTTACAACTACCCTAAAAGGTAGGAACTATTATCATTATTTTATAGATGAGGAAATTTAGTCAGAAAGGTTAAGTGACTTTTCGTAGGTTATAGAAATAATAAGCAGCAGAGATTTGAAAGAAATTAGAAGTGTTGTTTCTACACTTTCCTAAACTCTTTTAATACTCAGTCTATCAATCAATGGGGACAAACATTTACCATAAATCTTTAACTTGCTGTCACTAAGATGTCTATACATTTCAGGATGGTGCTTTTGATATTCTAACACAAGTTTACTTAAAATGCTAGAATGTATCAGGCAATAGTTGGCACAGGGAGTCTAGATGCTAATAAATTCACTTGGAAACAACTAAGAAGAACAACTATTTCTGAAGCTTATTTTCTTCTGAACTTTGTAAAAAAAAAAAAAAAGAAGTGTCTGACAATTTCATTTCAATGACCAAATTTGTTAAAGCCAACAATTATTAAAAGCAAAAGAAAATTTCCACAAGTTAGCAACTTGTATAAGTGAAAGGCGTATATCTGGAGAAAACAGAATGTCTTTCCAAAACATTTTTCACGATGTCAAATACATTCATTGCCAGAATATTTTAATAGGAAGGGCTCTATGAGGTACTTTGTCATTACAGACAAACAAGGTAAAAGTAAGCACTGCAGTCAATATTCTGACTGTTGATTTCATTAAGAATATTGGTGGAGAGGACCTTTGGTGAGTATAATTAACAATAAAAAATAAGTATCAAAAATTATAAATCTAGATAATTGCAGTGAGTATAAAGCCACAGCTCTCTGGAGAAAGTACCAGAAGACAGGGTAATGGTAGAAGGGTGCTAAGAAGTACATACTGAACTGTGTACATTATTCTACTCCAGGAAGGAATCCCACAAATTATTATGCAAACACATTACATTCAATTGAAAAATGGCTTTAGTTTTGCTCCTAAAATAATACCTTACTTCCCAGTATTTTCCACATTCCAAGTTTATTTTGAAAATTTGATTATTTAAAAAAAATTAATCTCTCACTATTAATTTGTTCCCAAATCAACATTACTGCCATTGAATAAATGGATTTACAACTCTGCAATATACCTTTCAGAAAGAATATGTACTCTGCTATCAAAAGAGAGTCACTATTTCAATCACATTATTGAAGCAATGTTAAAATATTTTGAATTCTTTTTTTTTTGGAGGGGGGCAGAGGACTCAAATCCAGGAAATTTAATGCAGCCTGTATTGCTAGAATTATCTATCAGGCTTCCACATGTTCCCCAAACTACCTGAATTGCAAAATAAATTGAATCTAAGCTCTATTATTCTTGTAAATAAACCATTTCATACCAAAGTGTTAAGGATTCTGGACTATACAAAAGGACTATTCATTTTCTAATAAATCATTATGAACTTTAAAAAGTCGTAAGGTCTAATTACAATTCTAATACAAGAGGAGAAAGATGTTTATTACTTACACTTACTAAATTAAGGGAATATGTATTAACTAAAAAAAA